CTTGGCATTCTGAACTAAACAAAAAATAAAGTGAACACATTATACAATCCAGTAAGACAGACAGAACAGAAAGAACAAGATAAGTGAAAATAGATTATATTCTCAATGAAACTGTGGTGATTTATGAAGTTTCCTAGAAGTATGCTGTTACACACGTTGACTCCTCCTCCTCAACACCCATATGAAGCCGGTCAAACATGCAACAGCACCATCATAACATGCTTATCCTGAGCACCGAACACTGGAGTTGAGGATTCTTCTGTTTTTGGATGGTAAAAACCAAATTTTTTTTTTTTTTAAGGAAGCACAAGCCCTAAAGATGCTGATGTCCAGAGAGGCTGTTTTGGGGACCTGTACTGAAGAAGACACTTCTTTGAAAGAGCATTGCATGGACCAACACACAGATGAGCCACCAATTAGGAACTATCACATTCTATTGAGGAGATTTTGAAGAGACCCGCGTGTTCTACAAAAAACAATACAATATACCAAAACGAATTTGTAATAGATGAGAATAAAAATGGATGCTCAAAGCAGTGGACAGGTGAGCTTGATGCCTTAGATTTAAATGTATTTTCAGAGGTAAAATCCCTTACTATACATGACTTCATGTTACAGACAAACCACCACAGGAGTCTTCAATAATGATGGAAACCTGTACAGGTAAGCTCTACTCTTACAGCCCATGGCTAGAGTATTCACATATACATTAATATATGGGTAATATTAGGTGAATGTTTTTTTAAACTTCTAGTTCAGAGAAAGAAAAGACAGACGAGGATCACCTTTAGCTCCTTCCAGCTGCAGCAGCTGGAGAGGGTTTTCCAGAGGACTCCTTATCCAGATGTGAAAACTCGAGACCAGCTCGCCTCCCGCCTGCAGCTCACAGAGGCACGCATACAGGTACAGTCGCTACACTTTACAACTCAGTTTACATGAATATGAATATGCGCAGCAATGGAGTGGGGCTGTGTGTCTTTTATAAAATGCCTACAGTATTTAAATAGTCATTGGTACTTGGTAGCCACACAGTATTTGATTTGACATTCCTATTTAGGTTATTTTAATGAAACTGATTAAGTTTAAGCTGCATCACTCTTCTACTTTAAATAAATAAACTCCACAGTGGTTAATGATATGATATTGTGATAATATAATGAGTGAAAAGTATTTTTTTAATATAATTAAATGTTTGGAAATTTGTAGTTGTTTAAATGTATTATGTTATTATAATTTCACACAGTTTAGTCTAGTAGTATAGACCTGTGGCATTCCTGCAGATGTGTGTTTTTTATAGTCTCTTGTTGGTGATGATTGTGCTGTTTGTTTTGTGAAACCATTCCAGATTTGGTTCCAGAACCGCAGAGCCAAGTGGAGAAAAGTGGAAACACAAAAAGACATTAAACTCTTCTCCCATCGACTAACAGCCACTTTAGCCATTCATCAACCGTTTTATTATGAGGTAGGAAGGAGCCACAGTGCTCGCAAACAACGTCCTGGAACAGATGAGCTCTTAAAGATGCTAATCTGACACTTGCCTGTGTATTTGATCTCACAGAAGCTCCAGAGGCACACGGGGGTCTGGAGGCACTGTCTTTTACCTGGACATGTTCCAGCGCCGGTCGTCCCAAACTGGGCCCCTTCTCCCCCACGTACGAGCTTCCATATCCTCCATCACACAACGCAGTATTTTCACAATCCTGCAAACAGAAAGATTTCATGTTCTTAGTTGTGGTAAATAGACATTGCCTATATATATTTTGTCAATATTGTAATATTTGTGATGTTTTTATTATTTATTGAGTTTATCTATATTTTCTATAAAAGGTGCTGCAGGGACATTTTTATTTTACTGTAATGTTAAGTATACAAATTCCACAATGTATGTACTACTTACAGACAAATTCAGAAATAGAATATGTGGATATGTAACCAAGTATTGCATGCTGATGGACCCACCCTGTCGCAGCCAGGCAAAGTCAATGAAAATAAATGTCCCCACAAGGAGGCAATAATCTCCTTTTCTTAAAAATGTCTTGTTTTTTTCCTATAAAAATGTCAGAGTCCTAGTTATGAAGCCTTATTTCCCAGTAAAACTTAGATAGGGTGAACGCAATAAAACTGTTTTATCAGCTTGACTTTTTGACAACCTGTGCTTATCTAAATTTGCAGTTGTAATTTAAGGTTATGGACAGGTCAGGCCTTCTAACCAATGGAGAGGTTTGTCTGAAGTGATTAAAGGCACAATATCTAAACAGAATCTAAAAATATACAATACCAGTTTAACACATTGTACTAACACACTGTACCACATTATTATTTGTGATCAATTTGATAAAGAAGTATTGCTCAATCTCGAATACAAAAGCAAAACTCTCTGTCTCAATCATCTAAGTAGGTTCACTATAGAAAACTGAATTCTCTCAAGTGTGTAGAAATACATTTTGCCCTTCTTCTTTATTTACGACAGGAAACTGATCAGTAAGGCAGAACTTCCTTTAGCAACCAAAACTCATTGTGTTATTTGAATATGACATTGCTCAAAGACAGTTAAAGTCCTGATACTGATCACTATAAAAGTCTCATAACAGTGAAGCATGAAGAACAGGTGAACTCTTAACCCTCTCGTTAACATTTATTGCTTTTATGTTTACTCCATGAAAACTGTAGCATACTCCTGGCTGCAAGATAGATTAACAGGTATAATAATATAATATATAATAATATAATAGTGTATCTGAATTGTGCGTTAAAAGCAGGCCATTTTATCATGACAAAGATATGCATATTGAACTGCCACTGATCAGGTGAAATCTACAGAAAAAATAAACAAGTTCTTGGAAGTGAGCCTTTTGTGGTGCAGTGTGATAAAAGATGTATTGAGGGGCGACCGTTTAAACCTGTCCTGAAATGACTTCCTTCTGATCTTATCCTAAAGACCCCTGACCCCAATTCATTCATAACAGTCTGCCCAAGTGTTGTCAGATAACCCAAATACAGCAATAATTAAAATGTGAAGACCAATGTCAAATTCTCGAGTAAGAATCAGTATCATCAGTTCAATTCAGTGTATTTCTGTATAGACCAAAATCACAACAGCGGTAGCCAAGCAGCACCTAACAAAATTATGATTTAAGAAACAGTGAATCAGAAAATCAAAGTCAAAGCTGGAGGTTGCCATTTTGTTGCACTTTCTGTTGCAATTTCTGTGGCCTTTCTTCAGATTATTATGGAGGTTAGCAGCAATTTATTATTTGACTTATGTATCATGAAGACAGGGGCATGTCGCGCTGTCTCCCTCAGGTCTCTGAAACTGAAGACAAATGTAGGCTATTTCAAATGAAAGAGCAGCATCTGGACCTGCAGGGCAGATTCTAATCCTGCCCCACTTGTAAATGTGTAATCTTTAGTGCCCACACTGTTGGAAAATGTACTCACTAAATTAGTTTGGTTTTGTTTGGTTTTAGATAGGAGGGTTAATGACGTGACCACTTGCACCACTTCTGCAGGGTGTGGCTACAAAGTTAAGCCTATTTATTTGATCAGTGAGAGCACGGGTGGGCAATTATTTATTCCATGGTGCCACAAGAGAAACAGAAAATATTTTTGAGGGATGGGCCAAAATGCTTACCTCAATTCTGCACAATATTAATAGAATTTCTTAATAAAAAGCAGTAAATAGTATTGTTTTGACAAGCTGATAAGACTGATAAGAGTATATGTTATAAGTAATGAAAAAGTGAGGTTGTATTACAAAAAATGTCATTAAAAACACCTCTAAAATAAAAGCAATGCAACTTTAGTCCATGCAAGAGGTAAAATTATAAAATATGTTGGGGTTTTATTGTAATTCCAAAGGGCCGTATGTGACCTGGGAGCTGTACAATGCCCACGTCAGAGTTAGATCATCATTACCAGAAAGTAGGGTAGTACGCCGTGGTTGAAATGGTTGTATATTGGATAATCAACACAATCAAAGACATTTTACTTGTAATACGTATCACCGATTTTTTTCAAACAACTTGTGACGTCTTCATACTCATCCAGGGTATATATCACAAGACAGTAATTATTTAAAAATCATACTATGAGCTGATTTAATGCATCTTTGTGAATTTAACACTCATTTAACACTGACCATTGTTGATTCTTCTTTCCTTACCAGAGGGATACCAACAATTTTGTCCATATCTGTACATCACAAGTTAAATGAGTGTTGAATTCACAAATATGCACTAAATCAGCTCAAAGTATGATTTTATAAAGATGCATTAAATCATCTTTTTAATAATTACTGTCTTGTGATTATACACCCTGGATGATTAGACGTCACAAGTTGTTTGATAAAAATCTGTGATATGTATTGCAAGTTAAATGTCTTTGAATGTGACGAATATCCAATATCAAACCAATTCAACCGCGGTGGTTAGGACCTGATATAAAACTGGCTTTTCAGACATGTTTAAAATGTAACTGTATTACAAATATTGCAAGTTAAAATATTACTTACAACTATGAAAAATGCTTTTCTGTAGAAAAACTGTGAAAACTGACAACTTACCCAGAGTGACAACATGCTCCGTCTCCCCTAACTATACAAACTATAAAAATAAAAGAAAACCTAAACTAGCCTAAATGCACTATGTAAGTTCGCACGTGGTACGGTCCAGCCGCTGTCCTCAACACTCCAACAGGCGGCGCCACTGGATGTATGAATAAGCAGAATTGATGCTGAGTATTATTGCTGAGAGTCCGGCGGAGGACAGGACAGCACTGACCTAATTTTGTCGCAAGGGTTTTGTTGTCTTCTGCCCGTCAGTGTAACCTGGAGCCAATGGACCCCCTTTTACGCATCGCCTCTGCGTGCTGAGTGTCAGCACAGGGGCGGACATACCGAGCATCCCGCAGCCTCCGCCCGCCTGCGTGCAGCCCCAAAGAGACGAGAGGGAGAGGCAGGGAGAGGCACACTGACCGGGGACACACACTGCAAGAGAGGGGCGATGGCCGCGGATGGGGGATGCGGGGAAAAGGCGGAGGAGTACCGTGCCGAGGTGGAGCGGCTCACGCTGGAGCTGGCAGAAGCGAACCGGGAGAAGATCAGGGCGGCAGAGTGCGGGCTGGTGGTGCTGGAGGAGAACCAGGCGCTGAAAGTGAAGTATGCGGACCTGGAGAGCGAGCAGGAGGCTCTGAGGAGGGAGCTGGAGCAGTTACAGGAGGTAAGAGGAGACACTTGTTCTGTGGGAGACAGTGGCGCGGATAAAGTGCTGCAGTGATGTGGTCAGACACAGGGAGGATGAGCTGCAGCCCCGAGTGACCGTCCAGCATCCACCAGACACTAACAGCCCACAGTATATGGCTTACAACAGTAGCCTACAGTGAGGCTGAGATTGATGTAGTCCTGTCTAAAAAAGAATAGTGCAGGGCCAAATTTATGTGTCTGTTGTGAGGGCTTCTCTTTGGAAAGTTGTTCTGGTTTTCACCACTAAATATACAAGTATTCAAGTCTTACTCAAATGTTTTTCTCCTCCAGTGAATCATATTTGAATCACATTTGAGCCATAATATCAGTGTTTTATTGGGCTTTTTCATGCCATGACATTATTTGTATTTCATCTTAATTAAATTCAATCTAATCCATTCATTTACAGTTGCACACTGCAGTCATAAAACGTTGTACAACAAAGACACAAGGGAAAGGTGTTTTTGGCACACACAGTACAACACAATGATAATATTGCAAAAAAAAAATTACATTTCTGTGAAAATTATCTAGCTATTAAAAAAAAAATTTGCACAATGAGACCTATATATCTTCAAAACAGTGATTATGTTTTATTCAACTGTGATTTAAAACAATCAGAATTATCTTAACATTATATGTATAGTTATTGCATTAAAACATTGTCACTTATTACATTTTTTTCTTCAATTTCAGTATAGATTGATGCTTCTCCTCCAACATCCATAAAAGTGAAAAAATTCATAGCACACCCAGATGGCTGATGTCCAAAACTTAAAATTTTTTTTAATTTTTAGACATTTAGGAAAAGCCTTCATCAGATCATTTTTTTCTTGCTTTGGGCCACGCTACAGTCTCCTCCGAAATCCTCCCTGTGATGAAGCCTGTGCGGGCGACATATTTAGAAATGCCACTTGATCCATATTGAATAATGGATAGTGGCGTGCTCCAGTCTCTTCCATCATTAGTGCATACATGGACACAGAGGTGCTGCTGACAGGCCCAGGGCTCAAGGTCGTTTTGGGAGTTGCTTAAACCCAAAAGGGCACATGAAGGAACAGCTGAAGGGGGCATTTTTACAACAATAAGTCACAGGGGAGACGAGGCACTGCCAACTCCCGCATCTGATGAAGGCTACACTCCCTCAAATGTTGTCTGTCCATCTAGAGTGTGAGTTATTTTTACCGGTTTAATAATAAGAAAATTGTCACTGGATTCACAAATAATTACTCTTGGCTTGTTGTGCTGCTTCCAAGCCTGAAGAAACAGCTGAAATAACATTTGCTTCTAACATTGGATGCTTTTAACTTTGATATGAGATTTTTTTGTTTGTTTGTTTTTTTTCTGAATTTATTATAGCTGATATTGGTAACATCTTTATTTTATTTTAACACGAGTACTTAATATTTTAAAGGTGCAAGATGTAACTTTTCCGATGGAGGGTCCACCACTGCTTGTTTCCATGGAGATGTTATTGTTTTGCTTGGAATGTTTCACAGTATGGCATTTAGTATATAGATGCAAAGCGTGCGATGCAACAAGGCCAAGGTACATGTTAGATCTATGGAGAGGCAAATGTTTTTCAAGGTTTTTTTTTTTGTAAACACCATTGACTGAATAATGATTGAACCAGATATACAAGTTTAATGCCATATTGCGGAACATTCCAGGCAAAGAAAAACTCGGTAGCAAGCAGGAAGTGGACCCCCAGCACAGAAAGTGACGTAATGCATCTTTAAGACACAGAAGTCAAACATTTAAGAAAACAAAAAGCTTTCAAAATGACAATTATTAATGAGTCAAACATAGTGCAGTTTATGTAATTTCCTTGTTATGTTCACTAGCACCTAAGCTCAACACTAAATAAGTCATGGCCACTTGCTGAGCGTAAGGACAGCACTCCCCACTTTACATTATGCATGTGTGGTCTTATACACATCTTTCATGGTTCTATGTGCTTTTTTGGTGCAGTGCTGAAGAGTTGAGCACTTTACTTTGCAGATTCATTATACAGTATGTTTGGAACAAGTTGACAGCAGTGAAGCAGAGCCACCATGTCTATCTCTGTATTGATTTTCAGTGAGATTTGATGCTGTGGATGATGAGGGAATAACCGAAAGAAATGTGGCTTAAAGGGCCCGTATTACGCTATTTTCTGAACTGTGTTATAATTTTGTTTCTTTATCACAAGCATACCTTTTCTCAGGCATGTTTAACACGCAAGTGCATAAGAAAACACTTTGTTCCACCTTGTGATATCATATGGTAATACAAGAAGTGCTCCACTGTGTTTTTAAACTCCAAAAACCTTCACTAACATAACCACCTTTGGATATTTTCTGCTCTGGAATTGCCCATCTCTACTGAACATAAGGTAAAAAAATAAAAAAAAAGGTAGTTGTTAACTTTAAAACTACCTCTTCATGACATCACAAGGTGGAGTGTTTTGATCTTTGGATATAGACTAATAATATAGGATTACTCAGACACGTGTGAATGATATAAAGCACAACTCTGGATATGTTTTTAAGGAGGTAACAACATTCTAACATGGCTTAAAGCTCTCAAGACTCAATTTTGTTTAATATAGGACATTTAAAGTTGCACTAACTAACGTCTTACTCTGGTGTCATTCTGGATCTGCTACCTGCTCGTCTTCGTCATGGTGTCAATGCATTGCCGCAAATGTTCCACATTATGGCATTTTGGAGACAATATTACATATTTCTGGAGATTTTTTTGTTTGTTTATTTTGTACGTGTACCTCTACTGCCAAACAAGTAATTTTTGGATGTAATTTTACTCTTACAGATGCCCTCGATTCAGTGTCACACTTCTATGAATACATAAACTTTTAAATCTTCCTCACAATAGCATTACATATTCAGTGCTCTTAGGTGGCTCTGGAGGGAAATCAAAATGGAAATTGAAATTGCTTTTGGGACTGAGTGGTTAGTGTTGGATTCATAAATCATCTTTTCTTGCAGAGGGTGGATTTTTTTGTTTGTCTTGTGTGTGTCTCTTTCCTATGTTAGGAGATGCAACATGATGTGCATTATTTTAAATTGTTGAACTCTTAAAGTGAAAATCATTTTATTTTTGCTTTAATTTGCCTAGGTTTTGTGCAGGTTTATGGTGGTAGCAACTTATAATATTATGTATTTTACACAGATGATAGGACAAGATGAGACGAGGTTGGGTCCATGAGAACAAAATAAGACAAAATTAAAAAATTGCTTTACAATTTTTTATTTATTTGATTTCATATTTTTGTTTCCATTCTAGTACTGCTTTTGGAAACTGTAATTGAAATGTAACTCCCTGCCACATAAGCCTTTTTTTGTCCAATCCAAATGTTAACATTAAAAGATCTCAAGAGATAATTTTTCTCATATGTGCCCAAACCTTTGGCAATTTTGTCTTGTGAGAATTTGAGGCACAAGATCTGGTACCATCCCCATGAACAAGTACATCAGACTGAAGAATAATGGTACAGTATAAATACTGCAAAAATGAAAGTAATGCTTTCTCTTTTATATGAATAAAACATAACTTTCTCCCAGTGGCAGATTGCAGAATGCCAATTCAGACAACAATCGGCTCAAAGACAGCTGTATTACTGTTTTTGCTCTTCATACCTTAGGCTCTTTCTGTATGGAATAATTATACAGTCACTTCAGGTACCCAAAGCCTCTCCCTCATTCCTCTATCTACTGCACTTTCCTTTTTTTTGTATTTTGCCTCTGGTCCAGCTCGTTTTCCCCTCTTCTGTATTGTTCTGTGCATGTATGCAGTGTCCTGGGACAGTGATCTTAGCTCTGTTCTTATTCGTACCCTGTGGTCTTGTTAGTGCTGTTTCTGGGCAGAGTCGTCTCACTACAGCACTGCTTTAGAGGGGATGCTGCAGCTGTGGTGAAGAACGGACACTATGTTCTTATGTCTGTTTCACTTAAGTCTTGTCAGCGTTCACATTATTTATAAAGTGTGGTGTTGGGGCTGGTCAATTAGCAGAATTTTAATCAAGATTTAGGCATTTACAATTGTCAGTGATCAGCTTGGGTCTTTTTTATCAAGAGCTCTACAGCGGCAGCCAATCTTCTGTCAGTAAACAATGTGGAGGAAAGAAATTTAAAGGGCAATGATTAAAATCCTATATTTTTTTGAATGTTCAGGAAATATATTAACATTTTTATATATTCAGGTGACATTAGCGCAGTTGGTTGATTGTTTGTCCACTGATTCAATAGCCTGATTCATCAGCCGTTTTCACTTCGTAGAAACTGTTTGACCTCGCAGTGTTAGTTTTTTAATTTAACCAATCACTGCTATTTGGTTGTGACGTATGTAATGCGCTGCTAACGGGGCTAACTGGTATATTAAGCTTTTCCCAAATCCCATAGGAAGAAGGAAAATTCACCAAAACATTCTCTTTGTTCCAGTTTTAAATCCTCGATCTCGGGAATCGTTGCCAACACAGAATGTATGGCTCTTCGCTGATTGGCTGGTGCCTGAACTCGTACTTCCGGGGTTTTTGAGAACCGTCTAGTGTATTCCAATTCCTGACCTAGTCGCTGGAGAGAAATGAAATTGAGTGGAGGCACTAGGTGGAGCCAGCCTGGTTACTGATCCAAAGGTTGGCGGTACGAATCCTGCTCTCGACATAAATGTTATTGGTTGAGAGGTCAGATCCACTGACCCACAGGTTGGTGGTGCAATTCTAGCTCCCACAGTTGAATGCTGTGGTTGTGTCCTTGGGCAAGACACTTAGCCCACCTCGCCCCCGTGTCTGTGCATGAATGTATGTGTGAGTGGGTGAGTGGTTCCTTGATGTAAAGTGCTTTGAGTGCCTTAAAGGTGAAAAAGCACTGTATAAAAATGTGACCATTTACAGATTTTTTTTTTACATATATAAAGCAGCAATTCAGATTTTGGAAGAAGAAATTTAAATGGCAATGATTAAAATCCTATATTTTTATG